AGGACTCGTCCAAAAAGCAGTCACTGCAGGGTCAGTAACAACTGAGTGCAGATAAAAAAAAAAAATTGTTTGTATGGCTGATTTGTTTTTTGATTTTTTAGTACTGCTTATATTTTAATTGTAAGCCGCTCAGAGTCACAAATGGCTCTATGAATGAATGAATGAATGAATGAATGAATGAATGAATGAATGAATGAAATGTCACTAGAAAGGAACAAAAAGGACATATTTAGGCTGCCTCCACACTGAGCTGGGAATGAGACGAAGGCTGAGTCATGAGGACATGTCCTCTAAAATTGGATAGTGGATGTCTCTGAGTTATGGTAAACAGTTGCTGCAGAGGAACCCTAAGTACTGCTAAATCAAGCTAGCCATAATCTAAGATACTCTGTGTACAAGAATCGAAATGGATACTTAGCACTGTGTAGTTTCATTTGTATCTCAAGAAGCTATGACAACATGAGACAAAAACAGGTGGACACTTTGCAAAGCTATCTTGAGTACCAGGAACATCATTCAATAAAGGGAAGAAATAACTGGATGGAACAGAGTAGAAGAGTCATTTCTACCACTTGTGTTTCAGGTCTTACCAAAAGCTCCAGCCTGCCCTAGAACACATACTAGTGGAACCTGGAACATGAAAACGTATGACGAGCTTTGTTTGACCAGGCTAATGTCACACAGGGCTGATCTAATTCACTCAGGAAGCTCACAACATGGACAAGAAGAGTGATAACCCTCTTCCGCTGTTACTTCCCAGCCACTGGCATACAAGGTATATTCCGACCTTACTAAACATCCATGAAAACCATTCACCACTGCTAGAGCGGCATGACTTGGACTCCTTTAAAAACCTTCTAAATTGATACTCAGTGAATGCAATTATTTTATTATACACTATATAAAGAGGCACTTCATCAGCAACTCTATCTTTCACTTCAGTGAATGACCCTAAGTTTCAGTACTACAAAAGAGGATGTAAAACTATCCATATCATGCATGATTTGATATATAGCTATTCATGATCCCTCTTACCTGTTATTTTTAATAACTAAAAAAATCTGAAACACTATAATGTTTTTCCATAGAAAAGCAGGTTTCTAATAATTTGAGTCTACCCCTTTTCCACAACCTCTTTTTTGAGTCAGTGATCAGACCTGTGCAGAGAAGCAGGACTGCGTACAGAAATACTGAGGGAAAAGTGCAACAAGAAGTAGAAATCTTCTCATTACCAATTTACACGTAACATGGGGAAAAGTAGCAGAAGTAGACAAGAGAATCAATGACCAGGGACTCAAGGAAAGTTATCTGTGTTAGAAACAGAAAAACAAAAATCACCCTATGGTAACATTTTTATTAGGGCCAACTAAAATATCTGCAAATCATAAATAGTGGTGCTATTATAATTGGGCTTTGAAGCATGAAAGAAAACGTTATAGAAGAAAATATGAAATCTTCAAAGAGGAGGAGACTGAATTCATATCAATTCACTGAAAATGAGAAAGAATGAAGGTACAGCAAGGAAGCGACTGAAAAAATGCTTTAGTCTAGGACTGGGAGTAAATGGTCCTAACACTGCATGTGGTCCCAAGTCCTTTTTTGTGACACCAGGACCTTGCTCTGTGTCATCTTATTGTGGCACTTTAAAAATCAACATGTCTTTCTACTACTTTAAGGTACAAAACACAAAAAATAAAGCTAGATTTAACACCATTTAAAGAACTAAGGAAGACTCCTCAAATCTTTAAAAAACTCCCCCCCCCAAATTTGCAACACTCACCTCTTTAGCATTTATCCCTCTAAGGAAAATTAACTACAGTCCCCAACTACCTAAAAGTTGCTTTTGTCTGCAGTAAAACCATTACACTTCATCTGTAAGAGGCCAGAAAGCCAGGAATCCTGGATCTTGTTAAACAGACTGTTTTTATTTGAGTTGTTTGTCACTATAAAATAGTTCTGCATACCAAAGCATCATAAAAAAGGGAACACAATGCAGAGCATGTGCACACCACAATGTTTTGATGGAATGCATTCCTTCATAGAGTGCTACGAAAAAAAAAAAAAAATCAAGCATATCTATGAAATCCCCTCTTGGAAGGTCAAAATAAGGCAAATGCAATACCAG